ATTAAAGTTCTAGCACGTAAGAGCGACCGTGATAGGTAGGATAATTGATTCAAACGTAGATGTTATGGAACTTCAGGAGGATTTAAACAAACTCTATTCTTGGTCAGAAAAGTGGCAGATGCAGTTCAATGTAGATAAATGCAAGGTTCTGAAGCTTGGGAGTGCCCATAACCCTAGTACTTATAAGTTAAATGATGTAGAACTTAGCCATACAGATTGCGAAAAGGACTTGGGGGTTATGGTGAGCAGCAACCTTAAACCAAGACAGCAATGCCTAAGCGTACGTAATAAGGCAAATAGATTACTGGGATTTATATCAAGAAGTGTAAGCAACAGAAGTCCAGAGGTCATACTGCAGCTTTATACATCATTAGTAAGGCCTCACCTAGATTATGCAGCTCAGTTCTGGTCTCCATATTACAGAATGGACATCAATTCGTTAGAAAACATTCAGCGTAGGATGACTAAATTAATACATAGCATTAGAAATCTTCTTATGAAGAAAGATTGAAGACTCTTAAGTTACATTCACTTGTTAGACGAAGAATGAGGGGAGACCTGATCGAAGTGTATAAGTGGAAGATAGGTATTAATTAAAGGGGATATTAATAAGGTCTTGAGGATGTCTCTCCAAGAGAGACCGCAGTAATGGATTTTAATTAGATAAGTTTAGATTTAGAAAAGGACATAGGAAAGTATTGGTTTGGAAATAGGGTAGTTGATGAGTGGAACAGTCTACCTAGTTGGGTTATTGAGGCTGGGACTTTGGGTAGTTTCAAATTTAGGTTGGATAAGTACATGAGTGGGAGGGGTTGGATTTGAGTGGGACTTTCACATCAGAGCTTATTTCTTGGTGGCATTGAAAATTGGGTTGGGCAAATGTTTTGTTAGTGGGATGAATTGTAAAGGACCTGCCTAGTATGGGCCAACAGGCCTCCTGCAGTGTTCCTTCTTTCTTATGTGAAAACACGAGAAAACCCGGAGCACAACGAGGCACGCTGACACCGCACTGCACTAGTCCTCATGTAGCACCAGCAGCACCCCCGGCTGGTAGCCATGCCACTGACTCAGCACATCCACAACAATGGCCACCTTCAACCACCCACACAACCTGCATAACCAAAACCACAACAACCCACCCACAAAAATGCAGAGATACTTGTTTTATGTGTGTGGAGTGTAAAACAGCACTGCTCATAACACCATTTCAAAGAGTCCCAGAAGCTGCAGCACTTATAGGAACGTGTCCAGTGACACTGTGTATATACATATTATAGAACAATAGTAATAAACAACTTTTTTAATTGTTGATTTGTGTAAACAAGTTGTGTAAACAATATAATAACAATATTTGTGCGGTTATTGTGTTGCATACAATGAGTGGATATATATACAATATGCATTATATTGGTCTCACAGGCCAGAAAGTTACTTGAAAAATAAAATATTAGAAAAGAAAAAATTAGAATAAAAGTAAAAATAATATATGTATTACCGAGTGAATGGTAGGTGCCAATGTTGCCATAAGCAGTTCACTTTCTGTCAACTTCACACCTCTACATCTTGGTAAGTAATGATCACAATTTTTTTTTTCTTTTAAAACAATCAAAAAATATTCTTAAGACACTGAGAGCAAGTTTGTGATCAGGGGTCTCGACAGTGAAAGGGTTAAATAGAATTCATAATGGTATAAACATTCTTCAGTACATTAAAATGCTAAAAATTAACACAGCAAATGATATTCCTATAAATATATGTTCATACAATAATTTTAATACAACTCTGACATTTTAGAAAACTGCCAAAAAAAATTAATTAATATTTAATAACAAAAACTGCTTCATGAGGTTTACAGGGTAGTAATAAATTTGAATTATCTTAAACTGTTTAAAAATAGATGAAAAAGAAAAACCTTAGTGGAAAACTGTAGTGTCACACTTGCAATGGAAATTATACAGCACATCATTTGATATTAAGGAATGCAAATAGCAAGTGTTTGGAGCAGTTCCATTAATACTTCACTCTAGGAGACAAATGTGGAATCCCTCAAATTAAAATAGGTTTCCAAAACAACAACGAAGAGGGCTCCAATTTGCAATTCAACACAAAGCTTCATTTATGAATGCATACACATGTTGTATACATCATGTCAATAAGAATAGGCCTTCTCAAGAAAATATCATCTCCCACCTAAAAAAAAAAAAAAAAAAAAAAAAAAGAATGGTACAGTTAATAAAAGCATTAATCCAAAATGCCCCAATGACCCTATCACAATAGTCCCCCCATATCCCTGGGGGATATATTCCAAGACCTACCATGGATACCCAAAACCACGGTTAGCAGCGAACCCTATATATGTTGTTTTTTGTTTATATACATACCTATGATAAAGTTTAATTGGTAAATTATGCACAACAGGTAAAGAAATAGCACATTTTCACTGATGGGAAGCACTTCACAACTTGTCTTAGGCTTTGAAGAACTTACAGCATCAGTACTTTTGTGCTTTGGTGCCATTATTAAGCAAAATTAAGGGTTATTATCAGGCCAAGGTAAACTGTGGATAAGTGAAACAAACTGAATCCACGGATATAGGGGTTCTATTGTAATCATATTCCAGTACCTACAGTGGACCCCCACATACCGTTGGCATCACAACGTTAAATCCGCATACCAATACATTTTATCGCTAAGATTTTGCCTCGCATACCGCTAAAAAACCCGCTCAACGCTATTCGTCCGAGACGCGTCTAATGTGCGGCCTGAGCCAGCCTCACATGTTCCGCCGGTGGCAATGTTTACCAGCCAGCCTCCGCGGTAACATCCAAGCATACAATCGGAACATTTCATATTATTACAGTGTTTTTGGTGTTTTATCTGCAAAATAGTGACCATGGGCCCCAAGAAAGCTTCTAGTGCCAACCCTACAGGAATAAGGGTGAGAATTACTATAGAGATGAAGAAAGAGATCATTGAAGTATGAAAGTGGATGTGAGTGTCTCCGAGCTGGCCAGGTTGTATAGTAAACCCCAATCAACCATCGCTACTATTGTGTCCAAGAAAACGGCAATCAAGGAAGCTGTTCTTGCCAAAGGTTCAACTGTGTTTTCGAAACAGAGATCGCAAGTGATAAAAGATGTTGAGAGACTCTTATTGGTGTGGATAAAATGAAAAAACAGATAGCAGGAGATAGCATCTCTCAAGTGATCATAAGTGAAAAGGCTAGGAAGTTGCATGAGGATTTAATTAAAAAAATGCCTGCAACTAGTGATGATGTGAGTGAATTTAAGGCCAGCAAAGGTTGGTTTGAGAGATTTAAGAAGCGTAGTGGCATACATAGTGTGATAAGGCATGGTGAGGCTGCCAGTTCGGACCACAAAGCAGCTGAAAAATATGTGCAGGAATTCAAGGAGTACATAAGACAGTGAAGGACTGAAACCTGAACAAGTGTTTAATTGTGATGAAACAGGCCTGTTTTGGAAGAAATGCCAAGCAGGACCTACATTACTCAGGAGGAAAAGGCACTCCAGGACATAAGCCTATGAAAGACAGGCTTACTCTTCTCATGTGTTCCAATGCTAGTGGTGATTGCAAAGTGAAGCCTTTATTAGTGTATCACTCTGAAACTCCCAGAGCATTCAGGCAAAAGAATATCCTCAAGGCTAATTTGTGTGTGCTGTGGAGGGCAAACAGTAAGGCATGGGTCACTAGGGACTTTTTCTATGACTGGTTACACCAAGCATTTCCCCCAATGTGAAAAATTACCTAACTGAAAAGAAATTAGACCTTAAGTGCCTCCTGGTGTTAGACAATGCCCCTGGTCATCCTACAGACGTGGCAGAGCGACTTTGTGGGGACATGAGCTTCATTAAGGTGAAGTTTTTTGCCTCCTAATACCACTCCTCTCCTGCAGCCCATGGACCAGCAGGTTATTGCAAACTTCAAAAAACTGTACACAAAAGCTCTGTTTGAAAGGTGCTTTGTAGTGACCTCAGAAACTCAATTGACTCTAAGAGAGTTTTGGAGAGAACACTTTAATATCCTCAATTGTGTAAACCTTATGGGTAAGGCTTGGGAGGGAGTGACTAAGAGTACCTTGAACTCTGCTTGGAAGAAACGGTGGCCAGAATGTGTAGACCAAAGGGATTTTGAAGGGTTTGAGGCTAACCCTGGGAATCCTATGCCAGTTGAAGAATCCATTGTGGCATTGGGAAAGTCCTTGGGGTTGGAGGTTAGTGGGGATGATGTGGAAGAGTTGGTGGAGGAGGAAAATGAAGAGAACTAACCACTGATGAGCTGCTAGATCATCTTCATCAGCATGAGGCCACACCTGAGGAAACTGCTTCGGAGGAGGGGAGAGAGAAATTGAAGAAGTTGCCTACTTCAAAGATTAAGGAAATGTGTGCAATGTGGCTTAAAGTGCAAACCTTTTTTGATGACAATCACCCTAACACAGCTATTGCAAGCCGTGCTGGTGACTATTACACTGACAATGTTGTGAACCACTTTAGGAAAGTCATAAAGGAACGGGAGGTACAGGCCTCTATGGACAGATATGTTGTGCGACAGAAGTCCAGTGACTCTGAAGCTGGTCCTAGTGGCATTAAAAGGAGAAGGGAAGTAACCCCGGAAAAGGACTTGACACCTCAAGTCTTAATGGAAGGGGATTCCAATTCTAAACACTAAGACTCTCTCCTCCTCCCATCCCATCAATCATCACCAGATCTTCAATAAAGGTAAGTGTCATGCAACTGTGCATGTCTTTTTCAGTTTGTGTGTATTAAAATTAATATTTCATGTGGTAAAAAAAATTTTTTTCACACTTTGGGGTGTCTTGCACGGATTAATTTGATTTCCATTATTTCTTATGGGGAAAATTCATTCGCATAACGATAATTTTGCATAACAACGAGCTCTCAGGGACGGAATAATATCGTTATGCGGGGGGCCACTGTATAATGCTTGTATGGTACAGTATTACACTGTTTTCCAAAACTCACCAAAATTCCTGGCATCATCCAAAGGGAAGGTTATGTAAGACTGGCATATCACTTGTCTCCCTTCGACTACTCCATGAATTTCAATCAAACCTTCTAAAATTTCCTGGGAAAATAACAAAACAGCAATTAAAAGTGTAAAAAACAAAATAAAATTCTCCACAATATTATCTATATTATCTTCCAAGCACTTTAAAAAATTGTGCAAAGAACACAAATGCCAATACAAGTCATAATAAGATACACAAATAACCCGCACATAGAAGAGAGGAGCTTACGACAATGTTTCAGTCCGACTTGGACCATTTACAAAGTCACATACCTACACTCCTCTCGTTTCCAACCCTCTTGATCGCATCAAGAGAACTTTTAACAAGAAACTAAGGACTCTCTCCGACCTCTGTCCTCCTGACTTTGGCCTTGGTCAATGTTTTCATGTCATCTGTCCCTCTCTGCCCTATTTCTATGGCCTTCCCAAAACCTGATATTCCTCTTATGTCCTATCATATCCTCTTGAGGTTCTGTCTCTTATTCTCTTGCTTCTTGGCTGGCCAAAATCCTGACTCCCTTTCTTGGTACTTTTTGTCCTGGCCACCTCATTCACTCTCAAAGACTTCATTGAACAGGTTCGCTTCCTCCGACCTGTAAGATGCTTAGTCTTGACACTGAGTCCCTCTTTACCAATTTCCCTCTTGATGATGTCCTTGATTTTCTTAGAGAGAAGGCCAATGAAGGGTTTCTTCATCTCCTTATACCTACTGATGTCTTTCTTGATCTTATCCGCCTCTGTGTGGACTAATTCCTTTTCCTTCCAAGGGAAATATTATTCTCAAACCTTCTCCTCTCTCTCTCTCTCCTGTCCTTGCTAATCTTTACATGGAATACTTCAAAACTGTTCTTCTTCCTACTATCGATGTGTGCCCTTCACTCTGGCTCCGCTATGTAGATGACATCTTTGCCCTGTGGCCTCATGACTCTTGTCTCTTCCAACCATTTCTCAATGTTCTTAATAATCTTGCCCTTCCATTAAGTTTAAAGCAGAATGGGAATCTAATTCCTTGCTTCCTTTTCTTGATGTTCATGTCCACTGCCCAGGTACAGGTTTTGCTTTTTCCGTTTACCGCAAGCCTATGCACAGTGGTACATACATTCACTACTTTTCTTATCATGCTTCCTCTGTCAAGAAAAGTTTTCTTATCTCCCTCTTTCTCCATGCTCTCTGCATTTGTGATCCTCAGTTCCTTCAATCAGAAATTTCCAACTCTTCATAATTCATTTTCCCGTCTTGGCTACCCTTCCCATTTCATAGACTCTGCCTTCTCACGTGCTAAATGTAATTTCTTCTCTCCCAAACTCTCTACTCCTGGGAACTCTTCTGTCCTCTGCCTTCCCTACATTTCCGGTCTTTCTAATTTCAACAACTCTCTCAGTTTCTTAGACATCAAACTTATTTTCCACCAGACTAACACTCTTTGCACTAATCTCGTTCATACCTCTCCTCCCTCTACAAATGCTCCTGGTGTCTACTCTATTTCTTGCTCCTCCTGTCCTCTTTAATACTTTGGAGAAACTGGCCGATCTCTTTCTGACAGACTTAGGGAGCACAAAAGCAGTGTTAGGTTGCCAACACTAACAATGCTCTTTTCTGTCATGTCAGAGATCACAGCCATCCTACTGACTGGTCTTCCGCTAAAACTATCTTCCCTACTTCCAACTAACAGTCGCTGTCTGGTTGAATCCTCCCTAATACACAACTTTCCTTGTATGAATCTTAGTCCCGGCTTCGTCTCTTTAGATACCTTCCTCTCCCACTACACTGTAAAATGCTCCAAACTTCAGAACACTCGTGACCTAACCTAATTCCTCCTTTTTCTTCTTCTCCTTCTTCCCCTTTCCTCTTTCCTTTTTCTCCTTTGGGTTGTCTTTCTTCTGCCCTTTGTATTTGTTCCTTTTTTATTTATTTATTTAATTATTTCCCCCCCCTAGGTGTTCTTGCTCTTACCCTCTGTGGGCACCTAGCTCAATTACAGTGCTCCTCTTTCTTAGTATTCGACTGACTCCTCCTCCTCTTACTACCACCCCACCACTACTTCCTTCCACCTCCACTACTACCACCACTACTACTACCACCACTACTACTACTACTACACCACTACTACTACTACTACCACCACCACCACTACTACTACTACTACCACCACCACCACTACTACTACTACTACCACCTCCTGCCTATATATAACCATCCTGCTCTCCTTTTCGTTAGAGTGACTTTGTAAATGGTCCACGTTGGACTGAAACGTCATCATAAGCTCCTCTCTTATGTGTGCGGGTTATTTGTGTATCGTTCCAGTCACGGCATTGTGCATTTTTTGTTATACATAAGATATTTGGGCCTCAAAAACTTTCACTGCTTTGTTTGTAATATTGTATTTTAAAAGCTTATCAGAAGCTAAAATGAATTATTACTGCAGTATACAGCCTCTCCTCACTTACTGATGTACTTGTTTACCAAGGGCTCAGGACTTACGAAGGGCTCTCTGACCAGTATGCCTTCCTAAATGATGTACCTAAGAGCCGATTTCTTTTACGTATTTGGTTTATTACAATATACAGTACACTACTGTATAAACATTTAAAAATATACCAGAAATGTTATAAATGGTGCAAAGGTGACATTAAAATACTGTAATATCAAAGATGGTTGACACATACCATTAATTACCATTATAATATGCTCCTCACTTAGCGACGAATTCGTTTAATGACATGGTCTTAGGAACGCAACTCCGTCATTAAGTGAGGAGAGGCTGTATTCATAAAAAGAGCTCAACTCACAAGTCATACAGTGCCTGAGGGAAATGGGAGGTAATCAAGTTTGATCCAAGGAAGGGAAGGGTAGCTACAATTCCTTGAATCAAGAGTCCTTCACTAGTGTTTACATAATCACTGTTAAATGCAGCAAATTCAAGAAAGGACACAAATTCAAACCTCCCAAACTCTCTCATATTTACACGTGAGGAATGTAGTGCGACGTGGAGCACTTCAGTGTACGTAATTTTCACTCAAACCACAAATACAACGAAGAACATTGTGCTGTGTTTATACATAAAGATTGTCCATATCTTGCTTAATGACTAATAATGAAGACTTGCCCCTCAGTTTTCAATGACTTTTCCATAATTGTTAGGGTTACATTTCTCCCCAAAGACATAATATCCTTGATTAAGTCAGTGGATCCAGGTGTTACAGTCACTCTCAAGGCTTCTTATGACTTCAATGGTAATGTAAACCAGCAACTAGGGACTTCTGGAAAAATTTATCATGGATGACACTGTAAACCTCTAGACATACTGGGAAGATTGCACAGAAGGCCCAATGAAAAAAAACTAGTCCCAATGTGTCACTGATCTATAGATTTCAAGAGAATTCTACAGACACTGGTTGGCAGATTTGAAGATGCTGACAAGATTGTTGAAGTGCCTCTTGAAATGAATAGATTATGGGGAAGAGCTCTTAAAAATTTAAACCTGGATGACTACCAATAAACTTACACTTAACATTGACAAAACCTTCTATATTATGTTTGGGAGCAGAGCAAATAATGTCCAACTAAACGATATGAATGACAATACTCGTATGAATGTTATACCTACTAAACATAATGAGGGAGAATTTTTGGGGCTGCACCTTGACAGCAACTTGAAATTCAACATCCATATCCAACACACAACAAAAAAAGTGTCAAAAACAGTTGTCATCCTTTCAAAGATACGTTATTATGTACCACAAGCAACACTACTTACATTATACCACTCACTGATCTACCCCTACCTCACCTACGCTATTTGTGCCTGGGGATCCATAACAAATTACCTTAAACAATAATAACTCAACAGAAAGCCGCAGTACAAATGATTACACAGTCCACTGCTAGACAACACACTCCCCAACGCTTCAAAGACCTAAATCTATTCACTATACTAAACATCCACTCTTACTACCGTGCATTCTACATTTACAGAACAAATTCTAACATTAATCCCGACGAGAAACTTTCTTGATAGTTGCAACAGGACCCAGACATAATACAAGGCACAAAATTCTCTCTGACATACCTTGGGTCTGTCTAAACCTCTAAAAATTCAATGTACATAAAAAGGCCTAAAATCTGGAAAACACTGCCAGAAATCTCCAGTCACTGTCTGAGCCAGTATCTTCAAAACTACCATTAAAAAACTACTTCTCTCCCTAACATATCCCAACACCAGCTAAATATGGGAACTACATATCCATATTCTCAATGCCACTAAAATATGTATACATTATAACCTTATTCTTAATATCTGTAATCCTCTCAACCTTTAAAACATTGATTGTATCTCCTTAATATAAATATGTACTAATACGATATTCAATTTTCTTGTACGTATTGTAACTCCTAAATTTATATTTACAATCACCTAAGAGATTGTATATGTAAAACCATTTGTCATTACCTTCTTAATCTTAAGTTAGTCTTAAGTTTACCCAAAATGCTCTGCATATTAAGGTGCTTTTGGCATGCACATGTAAATGTAATTCACCTTTGTACAAACATTGTATCATGCTGAAATACAGTATCTTTATCTAAGCTTGCAGGGGACAAAGAGCTAGGGAAATGGGAGACAACCAAGTTTAATCCAAGAAAATTGGAGGGCACCTGCAATTCCTTCACCAGCATCAAAACATCCCCCTTTAAAGATCCAATAAGAACTGTGGAACTGGTATGGTGATGGTGACACCAAGTTATAGGTAAAAGACACATATACCGATCAAGACATTAAGGAAATGTCTCGTAACAAGTGGCTTCTTCCATCATTAGGACTGAAGAAGCCACATATGACAAAACATTTCCTTAATAAATGTCCTGATCAGTGTACAGTGGAGCCTCGGCTTATGAGCGCCCCACCATACGAGTTTTTCAGGATACGAGCAGTCACTTGGTTGACTTTTTGTTTCTGGATACAAACAAAAATTCAGGATGTGAGCTTCCCCCTCAAGTGGAAGCTCGCATCCCGTGTTCAGTCTATCACTCAAGTGATGGACTGAACACATCAATTCCAGGCTGAGGAACTGATTACCTCAAACTCCTCCTCTCCTTACCAATTTCTACTTTGTATTGGACTGATGAAGCCACTGTGGCAAAACGTTCCTTAATGAAGATTTCCACACGTTGCATAGGTGTCTCAATTTTCAACTTGTCGATTTTCTAAACCATTTATCACATGTTAGATGAAATGTGATAGATAAATAAGCTGCAGAGTTGATATAAGCGTCATACTGAAGTATTTTTGTCCTGTCTCCCAAGAGTAGAAATTCCACTGGAATGGATTAACGGCATTTCAATTAATTTAAATGAGGAAAATTGACTCAGCATATGAGCAGATCGGGATATAAGCAAAATCACATTAAAAACGTAAGCCAAGGCTCCACTGTATACGTGTCTTTTACTTACAGGAACTGTGTTGGGAGGATGGGGAGGATAACATTGACAGTGCTGAAGCACTTATGGCATCTGATTTAATTCCAAGGGCACTGTCAGTTTTTAAACAAACTGAAGTAGGATTCAAACTCAGGTAAAATAAACCTACTTGTTATACCTTTATAAAAGTATTATATTCATGGGGAAAGCACTAGACCTGTATACCTTCATTAATCTTGAGGACAGAAGTTACTGTTAAAATTCCTGACATTACCTGTGCAGGCTGCTGTAAGATAACTTGTACTGACTGCCCATCACTAGCCTTCACTGTTAGCACCTTGCCCGAGGAGTCCATCTGTCAACCACATAACAATATTAAAAAAAGTTTAACCTGAAGCTAATTTGTCACTAAAGGCAATTTATTATGTATCACTTATAGGAATAGTGTGTTTTTCTTTATATTTCTTTTCATTTGGCTAACAAACAGATCCTGCAATTAATATCTTTCAAAATACCCACAAAGAAACTTCTCAGATTAATGGGAATAAAGAGATACTGTATATGAAAATTTTTGACAGGAAACGGAAAAAGAAAATGGAAGGAAATAACAAAAATAGTCCACCACCTTGGAGCCTTGTTGGACTGGAGGTGCAGCCAGTGGCCACCCATGGCCCTCCAGAATTACAACTACTGATGCCAATAACAAAATCCCCCAACAAACGCAGAATACAACCTCGTTCATATTTGCTAATATACAGGGCCTTAAGCCATACACCAACAACAAAATACCTTTTATCAGTGGACTTCTAGAGGAGTCTAATGCAATGTGTGCAGCCTTCACAAAGACTCACACAAAAGATCACTTTGACAGTGAAATATGGATAAGTGGTTACAACCTTTTCAGATGCGACAGAAAGAACAGGCAACAAGGGGGGGGTTGGCCTGTATGTCAAAGAGTCCCTCATCTGCACGGAGTTGCTGAACACCACAAATGAGGTAATTGAAGTTCTATCAATAAAGATCGAGAACCAAAACCTAGTCATTGTGGTTGTATATAAGCCACCAGATGCAACCTCACAACAGTTCAAGGAACAGCTACTGAAAATTGATTACTGTTTGGAAAACCTTCCAGCTCCATCCCCAAACATCTTACTGCTTGATGATTTCAACCTAAGGCATACAAAATGGAAGAATGTAGCAAATAATGTTATAGCTGAAACAATCCCCGGAGGTAGCGCAGATGAAAGGTCACACACACACACGAGCTACTAAGTCTCTGCGAAAAACACATCTTAAGCCAGCAGATAGTGGAGCCAACAAGACTAGAAAACACACTTGACCTTATCTTCACAAATAATGAGAACCTGATAAGAGACATAAGAATATCAAAAACAGCTAATTCCGATCACAACCTAATCGAAGTCCAGATGTACATGCATAGGGGTCCTGATCAGCAGAATGTATGTACCTGTGAAAATGTCTTCACAAAATACAACTTCAACAACAAGAACATCAACTGGGACCAGGTAAACCATGTCCTAAACGAAACATGTTGGGAAGATGTCTTAAATGACATGGATCCAAACCAGTGCCTTGAAAGGATCAACTTCCTGGCAGCTGAAGCATGTTCTAGGCATATTCCCCTAAGAAAGAAGAAGAGCAGGAGTAAACTGGAGAGAGAAAGACGCTCCCTCTACAGAAGACGACAAAGAGTCACTGAGCTCCTCAGGAGTGCTAGAATATCTGATACACAAAAGGAGGCACTGATCAGGGAAGTGGAAACTATCGAACTTAAGTTAAATGACTCTTACAGGAACCAGGAGAGACAGGAGGAGCTTAAAGCTATTAGTGAAATTGAAAGAAATTCAAAATATTTCTTTTCATATGCCAAAAACAAGGCAAATACCACATCTAGTATCGGACCCTTAGACAGGATGGGACTTACACAGACGACAACAAGGAAATGAGTGAAATATTGAAATCCCAGTACTACTCTGTGTTTAGTGAACCACTAATCGGTCTGAGGATCGACGACCCAAATGATTTCATGAATGAGCCTCAAAGCTCCATAAATGTATGCCAGATTTCCGACATTACCCTAACTCCGATAGATTTCAAAAAAGCCATCGACAACATGCCCATGCACTCAGCCCCGGGTCCAGACTCGTGGAACTCTGTTTTTCATTAAGAACTGCAAGAAACCCCTCTCGCGTGCCCTAATTACACTATGGAGGAGCAGCTTGGACATGGGTGAAATTCCACAGTCACTTAAAACAACGGATATAGCCCCACTCCATAAAGGTGGCAGCAAAGCATTAGCTAAGAACTACAGTCCAATAGCTCTGACATCCCACATCATAAAAATCTTTGAGTGCTAAGAAGCAGGACTGCAAATCACCTGGATTCCCAAAATCTGCACAATCCAGGGCAACATGGGTTCAGGGCAGGTCGCTCCTGCCTCTCACAACTACTGGATCACTATGATATGGCCTTGGATGCAATGGAAGAAAATCAGAATGCAGATGTAATATACACAGACTTTGCAAAAGCATTTGACAAATGCGATCATGGCGTAATAGCCCATAAAATACGTGCTAAAGGAATAACTGGGAAAGTGGGCAGATGGATCTTCAACTTCCTAACAAATCGAACACAGAGTAGTGGTCAACAGAGTTAAATCGGAGGCTGCCATAGTGAAGAGCTCTGTTCCACAAGGCACAGTACTCGCCCCCATCTTATTCCTTATCCTCATTTCAGACATAGACAGAGATATACATCACAGCACCGTATCATCCTTTGCGGATGATACTAGGATCTGCATGAGGCTGTCATCTGCTGAGGACGCGGTTAACCTCCAAGACGATATAAACAAAGTTTTCCAGTGGGCAACGGTAAACAATATGATGTTCAATGAGGACAAATTCCAACTACTCCGTTATGGAAAACTGGAGGAGATAATAACTAGAACAGAGTATACTACAGACTCTGGCCATACAATAGAGTGGAAAAATAATGTAAGAGACCTGGGAGTAGTAATGTCTGAGGATCTCACTTTCAAGGATCACAACAGTGCCACGATTGCACCTGCAAAGAAAATGATAGGATGGATAATGAGAACGTTCAAAACGAGAGATGCCAAGCCAGTGATGATCCTTTTCAAATCACTTGTTCTCTCTAGGCTGGAATACTGCTGTACATTAACATCTCCGTTCAAAGCAGGTGAAATCGCAGATCTAGAGAGTGTACAGAGATCCTTTACTGCACGTATAAGTTCTGTCAAGCACCTTAACTACTGGGAATGCTTGGAAGCACTTGACGTGTACTCGTTGGAGCGCAGGAGGGAGAGATATATCATAATCTACACTTGGAAAATCTTGGAAGGAATGGTCCCAAATCTGCACACAGAAATCACTCCCTATGAAAGTAAAAGACTGGGCAGGCGATGCAGAATGCCCCCAATAAAAAGTAGGGGTGCCATTGGTACACTAAGGGAAAACACCATAAGTGTCCGGGGCCCAAGACTGTTCAACAGCCTCCCATCAAGCATTAGGGGAATTGCCAATAAACCCCTGGCTGCCTTCAAGAGAGAGCTGGACAGATACCTAAAGTCAGTGCCAGATCAGCCGGGCTGTGGCTCGTACATTGGACTGCGTGCGGCCAGCAGTAACAGCCTAGTTGATCAGGCCCTGATCCATCGGGAGGCCTGGTCATGGACCGGGCCGCGGTGGCGTTGATCCCCAGAATAACCTCCAGGTAACCAGGTATATCTTGGATTGTTGTTGTTGCAGTATATATATAATTATGATAAATTAAAATGATTTAACTTGGGATAACCCAACACAGTAATACACAAATTTAATTCTCATGGGGGTTCCTATTACAGGAGGGCCCCGCTTTACAGCACTTTGCTAATACAACGATTTTCAATTATACACATTCTTCATTTATTCAGACTTCCTGCAATAAATATATTTACCACTCACTAAAAGCTAAGGACAAAAATATTTTAAGGTAAGTAATGTGTGTACCGTATATGCATTTTCAAGGCCTAGCTTTATTGCTCACTTAATACATAATACTGTAAATATGTTATCAGGCTTTTCTATGCATTGGAAAATGAAAAAAGGCTATGATTTGCCTTACAGCAAAAATCACTGTAAAGCAGAACCTAACCTGCTGTAAAAGCAGGGCCTTCCTATATTTGTATTTTAATAGCCCAGAACTCAACATTTCATGATACAGTATACAGTATATAGAGCCTCTCCTCGCTTATGATGGAGTTTTGTTCCTAAGACCACGTCAGTAAACGAATTCGTCACTAAGCGATGAATTCAGTTACCAACATGGTCTTAGGAACGGAATTCTGTCGTTAAATGAGGAGAGGCTGTAAATATAAAGTTATTTGTATATATGTATTCAAAATATTATACAGTCAGTCTTCAATGTTATGCTCTTCATATAGAACTTTTTAAATGATATGCTGTTTGCATTTCATTCCAGATGATGCTCATATGCTTTAAATTTGTGATATTACGCTGTTGAGCACTTGCTTCACTCTCACCAGCGATTACTTCTCGCTGGAGCAGCTGATGCTTAGCTATGACAGCCATATCTAACGAGAGTAGCAGCAACTAGTGTAGCCCAACCCTGACAATGGCCACAGCTCCGACTACTCAACAGTGTCTCCCAAACTCCCTACCTCTTAATATACACAAAAATTTATAAATAACACTAAGGTAGCTAATTACTAGCTCCCTAAGCATTTCATGGCATTCTTTATACTATACATAATTATATTGTACACTAAATATTTTAATACGTAATAATTTTTTCTATAATGTACTGCATTAGTTAATAAATGTTAACTATATTTTTTGTTTTAGTATCACAGATATAAAATATTACTTACTTATAGAGTTTCAGGGAATGCACTAATGGACTCGACATTAATTTTAAATGGGAAATGCTTTTCATTTAGCTCTGATTTTCAAAAACAAATGAACAGCACTAACAAAGAATTGCCTGTACTACTGTATTTTAATCTGACTTAACCTAGAATATAGTGTTTGGTATAACTAATATATCAATGAATCCATCCCATACATGTCACAGTTTATGACCTTTACATTCTTATTCAAACATGCATTACAACATACCCAAGAGGTTCTGAAAATTCATAACAAATGAATGCAATAATCCACTGGATAAATAATGTTACGAGATACTGACATGATAATACACACAAAAGAACTTTAATGGAACCTTTACCTTCTATACCTGTTCACCTAGCAGCAAGCAGGAACCTGGGTGTCAGTCAACTGCTGTAGGTTCCATCCTGGGAGACAAGATTAACCTAAGCTGCCAGAAATGCTCCACATAACCAGGGACTTTCTATACAGCATGTCAATGATGTTAACTAGGTCTGTAAAAGCTGTATCATGTACTGGTGGAATTAAAGATATTTTGTACATGCAGTGGGCTTCATCAAGTCATAAACATCTATTTGTGACTTGATGAAACTCAGCAGGTGAAATGTCATTAAACCATATTTGTTTCCCAAAAATTCAATGGTGTGACTGGTATTCAAATGTACTGTCTGGTATTACCAGTCCATCATTGATAGTAAGTTTATTCAGGTATAAGTACACCGTGGCCTGGTGGCTTCACATGGCGAGGGTCCAGGTTCAACTCTCAGCGAGGGTAGAAACATCAGGCGTGTTTCCTTACACCAGTTGGCCATGTTCACCCATCACTAAAATGGGTACCTGGGTGTTAGTGGACTGGTGTGGGTCACATCCTGGGACAAAACTGGCCTAATTTGCCCAAAATGCCCTGTATAAGAAGCAGCTTTCTATATAGTAGTATGTCACTGATGTCAGCTAGGACTGTATACCTTGTACATGAACTTGTAGTAAAGATATACACAGTAATATGTATAAATTACCTAGGATAACCCCCTCAAAAAAGCCAGACAAAGTGGGCTTACCTGGAGAGGGTGTCGGGAGCCAATGCCCCCACAGCTGAGTCTGAGACCAGGCCTCATGGTGGATCAGGGTCTGATCAACCAGGCTGTTACTGCTGGCTACACACAAACTGACGTACAAACCACAGCCCGGTTAGTCAGGTACTGACTTTAGGTGCCTGTCCAGTGCCTTCTTGAAGACAGCCAGGGGTCTACTGGTAATCCCCCTTAAGTATGCTGGAAGGCAGTTGAACAGTCTTGGGCCCCAGACACTTATTGTGTTGTCTCTCAATGTACTTGTGGTGCCCCTGCTTTTCATCTGGGGAATGTTACATCTCATGCCCAGTTTTGTTTTCATAGGGAGTGATTTTCGTGTGCAGGTTTGGTACCAATCCCTCCAGGACCTTCCAAGTGTATATTATCATGCATCTCTCTCGCCTGCATTCCAAGGGATACAGATCAAGGACCTTCAACCGTTCCCAGTAATTTGGGTGCCTTATCGTACTTATGTGTGCTGTGAAAGTTCTTTGTACACTCTCCAGGTCTGCAATGTCTCCAGCCTTGAAGGGGGCCATTAGTGTACAGCAGTATTCCAGCCTAGAGAGAACAAGCGATTTGAAGAGAATCATCATGGGCTTGGTGTCCCTAGTTTTGAAGGTTCTCATTATCCATCCTATCATTTTCCTTGCAGATGAGGTAGATATATTGTTGTGGTCTTTGAAGGCGAGATTCTCTGACATTATCACTCCCAGGTCCTTCACGGTTCTTTTTTGCTCTATTGTGTGGCTAGAATTTGTCGTATACCCTGATACATTTTTAATTTCCTCAAGCTTTCCATATCTGAGTAGTTGAAATTTCTCCTCGTTGAACTTCATGTTATTTTGAGTGGCCCATTTGAAGATTTGGTTGTCTGCTTGGAGTCTTGTTGTGTCTTCGATGGAGGACACTGCCATGGCAATCTGGGCGTCATCTGCAAAGGAAGACACAGAGCTATGGCTTACATCTCTGTCTATGTCTGAAATGTGGATGAGGAATAGAATGAGAGCAAGTACTGTGCCTTGTGGAACAGCTTTTTACTGTGGCCACCTGGGAGTTTACTCTGTTTACTATTACTCTTTGTGTTCTATTTGTAAGGAAGTTATAGATTCATGTATCAACTTTTCCTGTTATTCCTTTTTCACGCATTTTGTGTGCTATTACACCATGGTCACACTTGTTGAAAGCTTTTGCAGGGTCTGTGTATATTACACCTGCATTTTGTTTATCCTCTACAGCATCCAGGACCTTGTCATAGTGGTCCAGTAGCTGCAACAGGCAGGAGCAACTTGCTCTAAACCCGTGTTGTCCTGGGTTTTGTAGCTGATGAGTATCTAGGTGGTTGGCGATCTTGCTTCTTTTATTCCCGGAGAGCACTAAACGCATAGGGGTTATACAGTGCCTGAGGGAATGGGAGGCATTCAGGTACAATCCAAGGAAGAGCACCACAGATCCAATTCCTCAGATCAAAAGCTTCTCACTATCATCAAGGAACCTTCCTTAATGGTGACTACATTATCATACATAGTAACGTGTAAATTACCAAGGATAAACTCCCCCCCCCCCCCCCAAAAAAAAAAAATCATGACTTATATTCATTGGGGTCTTTGTTAACTGGACTCGCCCCCATTAGAGATCGAACCCGGGTCCTTTTACTTGTAACCCAAACCCTCTACCATATATTAAACATATTCCGTGAAAATAACTTAAGTGACTGCCAGTGCCTCGAAATTTTTATACATGGTCATTCACAGGCAAAAGAATAATCATTTAGGGGCATTACTTAATACCTAAGTAAATAAGTTTATCCAGGTACAGATACACATAAATACAGTTACATAAATTATCATACATAGCAATATATATGTAGATTACCTACGATAACACAAAAAAAAAGTCAGACAAAGTGACTTATTTACATTAGGGTCTTTGATTTCCAAATGGGGATCCTTATATGAGCTCACCTGGTTTACCTCTCCTAGCAGCACCACCTGGCACCCAGTGTGCTGGGTCAGTGTGGCACCATTAACCCTCGTGCGAGTGCCACTCTCAGGGAACACCATCGTAAATGGATGAAAAATCTAGAAAAATGTATGAGGCACGGAGAGTGCTGCTTCCCGCCGCCTCTACTGCTGCTGCTGTCCAAGTCAACCTCAATTTGCTACACAATGTGAGTAAATATATTTATGTACAAGTACACATAAATACAACTACACAAATTATCATACATAGTAACATATGTGAAAATTACCCACCAGGATAACCCAAAAATTTAGACAAGGTGACTTATTTCCACTGGGATGCTATATAATAAAATTATCCATAAATAAGATCAATCATGTTTTATTTAACTTAAATATACGTGTAATTTGAAAGCCTGCTGTTTTTTGGGCAATGGTTAGTTAATGGGGCTTACAGCTTATATGGAAATAAGTAAGGACCCCAATGGAAATAAGTCACTCTGTCTGACTTTTTTGGGTTATCCTAGGTTCTCTACACATATGCTGCTATGTATGATAATTCTATGTAACTGTATTTGTGTATACCTGAATAAATTTACTTACTTACTTACTTACTTACTTACTTAGGATCATTAAGGCTGTAAAGGTCCTCAGTGTTACGATATATAATTATTATTATTATTACAAGTACATGTAAAAGGTATACAGACTTGTCTGACATCAATGACATACTACTATATGGAAAGCCTCTTGTTATGCTGAGCATTTCTGACAAATTAGGTCACTTTTATCCCAGGATGCGACCCACACCAGTCAATTAATACCCAGGTACCTATTTTACTGTTTTAGGTGTCTTAAGGAAACACGTCCTAATATTTCCACCTGTACCGGGGATTGAACCACGGACCTCAGTGTGTGAGATGAGTGCGCTAGATTAACCCTCCTGGTTAATATTACCAATAAAGAAAATAAGTTAGATTGTTTGAATTTACTGAGTCAGTCTTGGTTTATTTACATGTAAGTTACTCAAGGACAGTAGTGGGTTATCCTAGATAATTTACACACTTTACTATTTATATAATAATTTGTGTAATTGTATTTATGTGTACTTGTACCTAAAAACCCCTTAAGGAAGGTTCCTTGATGTTGGTGAGGGGCTCTTGATTTAGGGAATTGGATCTGTGCTCCAGTTCCCTGAATTAAGCCTGAATGCCTTCCACATCCCCCCCAGGCGCTGTATAATCCTCCGGGTTTAGCGCTTCCCCCTTGATTATAATAATAATAATGTACCTAAAAAAAAACTTACTCTAATAAAAAGTGTGAAAATCTGAAGTTGTTTATTGAAACTTAGTATAATTTCTTTTGTTTCTTCTCATTTTCTTTTTCGTTTACATGAGGTTAAAGTTGCAAGAGAATCGAAGACTAACCCAAAAGGATTCTTTCAGGTATACAGAAGTAAGATCAGGGACAAGACAGGCCCACTCAAAAGTTCCTCGGGTCAGCTCACTGACAGTGATAAGGAAATGTGTAGAATTTTTAACACATACTTCCTCTCAGTTTTTACACAGGAGGATACCAGCGATATTCCAGTAATGATAAATTATGTAGAACAGGACGATAATAAACTGTGCACGATTAGGGTCACAAGTGACATGGTCCTTAGGCAAATAGATAAATTAAAACCTAACAAATCCCCAGGCCCTGATGAACTGTATGCAAGGGTTCTAAAGGAATGTAAAGAGGAGCTTAGCACACCTTTGGCTAATCTTTTCAACATATCACTAAAAACTGGCATGGTGCCAGATAAGTGGAAAATGGCAAATGTGATACCTATTTTCAAAACAGGTGACAGGTCCTTAGCTTCGAACTATAGACCAATAAGCCTAACCTCCATATGAAAGTTAAGACACATGTGCAACATCTGGATATCTTTATTGTAGTAGACGTTTCGCCATCCAGTGGCTTTATCAATACAGATTCTAGGACATAATAGGAAGACAGTAGAACTATATACAAAAGATGAGGTAATCAGTCCCTCGGCCTTGGAGTTAGTGTTCACAGCATCGTGGTGGAGGAGAGTCTGGAGCAAAGGCAAGAAGACTGGCGCTTTTTATAGGCGTCAGTGAATGGACGGGCAGCAGACAGGGCAGTCACTGTAGCGATTCCCCGTGGAAGTAGGTCCTTCAAGAGATGGGTTAGTTGAGCAGCCGTGAGAAGGTCTTGTAGATGTCCTCTGAACCAAGATTCATATGTTCAGTGTCTGACAAGTTGTGCAAGAAAGGTAAAAACGACATATGAAAGTTAGACCATGTGCAAATCTGGATATCTTTATTGTAGTGGACGTTGCATCCAGTGGGTTTTCAATACGATTTAGGACAAATAGAGACAGTAGAACTTATACAAAGTGAGGTATCAGTCCCTCGCTTGGAGTTAGTGTTCACAGCATCGTGGTGGAGGAGAGTCTGGAGCAAAGGCAAGAAGACTGGCGCTTTTTATAGGCGTCAGTGAATGGGACGGGCAGCAGACGAGGGCAGTCACTGGTAGGCGGGATTCCCCAGTGGAAGTAGGTCCTTCCCAAAGAGATGGGTTAGTTGCAGCAGCCGTGAAGAAGGTCTTGTAGATGTCCTCTGAACCAAGATTCCATGACGTTGCAGGGACTGATTACCTCATCTTTTGTATATAGTTCTACTGTCTTCCTATTATGTCCTAGAATCTGTATTGATAAAGCCACTGGATGGCGAAACGTCTACTACAATAAAGATATCCAGATGTTGCACATGTGTCTTAACTTTCATATTGTCGGTATTTTATACCTTTCTTGCACAACTTGTCAGACACTGCAACATCATGGAATCTTGGTTCAGAGGACATCTACAAGACCTTCTTCACGGCTGTTGCAACTAACCCATCTCTTTGGGAAGGACCTACTTCCACTGGGGAATCCCGCCTACCAGTGACTGCCCTCGTCTGCTGCCCGTCCCATTCACTGACGCCTATAAAAAGCGCCAGTCTTCTTGCCTTTGCTCCAGACTCTCCTCCACCACGATGCTGTGAACACTAACTCCAAGGCCGAGGGACTGATTACCTCATCTTTTGTATATAGTTCTACTGTCTTCCTATTATGTCCTAGAATCTGTATTGATAAAGCCACTGGATGGCGAAACGTCTACTACAATAAAGATATCCAGATGTTGCACATGTGTCTTAACTTTCATATTGTCGGTATTTTATACCTTTCTTGCACAACTAACCTCCATAGTGGGAAAATTTATGGAATCAATAATTGCCGAGGCAGTTCGTAGCCACCTTGAAAAGCATAAATTAATCAACGAATCTCAGCATGGTTTTACAAAGGGGCGTTCCTGCCTTACGAATTTATTAACTTTTTTCACTAAGGTATTTGAGGAGGTAGATCATGGTAATGAATATGATATTGTGTATATGGACTTCAGTAAGGCTTTTGACAGGGTCCCACATCAGAGACTATTGAGGAAAATTAAAGCACATGGAATAGGAGGAGAAATTTTTTCCTGGATAGAGGCATGGTTGACAAATAGGCAGCAGAGAGTTTGCATAAATGGGGAAAATCAGAGTGGGGAAGCGTCACGAGCGGTGTTCCACAGGGGTCAGTGTTGGGCCCCCTGCTGTTCACAATCTACATAAACGACATAGATGAGGGCATAAAGAGCGACATCGGCAAGTTTGCCGATGACACCAAAATAGGCCCTCGAATTCATTCTGACGAGGACATTCGAGCATTCCAGGAAGATTTGAATAGACTGATGCAGTGGTCGGAGAAGTGGCAGATGCAGTTTAATATAGACAAATGCAAAGTTCTAAATGTTGGACAGGACAATAACCATGCCACATATAAACTAAATAATGTAGATCTTAATATTACGGATTGCGAAAAAGATTTAGGAGTTCTGATTAGCAGTAATCTGAAACCAAGACAACAGTGCATAAGTGTTCGCAATAAAGCTAATAGAATCCTTGGCTTCATATCAAGAAGCATAAATAATAGGAGTCCTCAGGTTGTTCTTCAACTCTATACATCCTTGGTTAGGCCCCATTTAGATTATGCTGCACAGTTTTGGTCACCGTATTACAGAATGGATATAAATTCTCTGGAAAATGTACAAAGGAGGATGCAAAGTTGATCCCATGTATCAGAAACCTTCCGTATGAGGATAACTAAGGGCCCTGAAACTGCACTCTCTAGAAAGACGTAGAATTAGGGGGGATATGATTGAGGTGTATAAATGGAAGACAGGAATAAAATAAAGGGGATGTAAATAGTGTGCTGAAAATATCTAGCCTAGACAGGACTCGCAGCAATGGTTTTAAGTTTGAAAAATTCAGATTCAGGAAGGATATAGGAAGTACTGGTTTGGTAATAGAGTTGTGGATGAGTGGAACAAACTCCCAAGTACCGTTATAGAGGCCAGAAAAGTTGTGTAGCTTTAAAATAGGTTGGATAAATACATGAGTAGATGGGGTGGGTGTGAGTTAGACCTGATAGCTTGTGCTACCAGGTCGGTTGCCGTGTTCCTCCCTTAAGTCAATGTGACCTGACCTGACTAGGTTGGGTGCATTGGCTTAAGCCGGTAGGAGACTTGGACCTGCCTCGCATGGGCCAGTAGGCCTTCTGCAGTGTTCCTTCGTTCTTATGTTCTTATGTTCTTCTTCTTCTTCTTCTTCTTCTTCTTTATTATTATTATTATTATTATTATTATTATTATTATTATTATAATTATTATTATTATTATTACTATTATTGTTATTATTATTATTATTATTATTATGGTTATTATTATTATTATTATTATTATTTTCATTATTATTCCTTTCCTTCTTTTATCTTCTTCTTTTCCTTCACTATTTTACTACATGTAAACCACACAATAACCAAATTTCTGTAAACTCAGCATTGTAATCCTTATAGAGAATAAACTTTTCCTTCTTGTTCTTGTTCTTCTTTTTCTCCATTTCTTCTTCTTTACGCGTCAAAATTTTATCCTTACATGAGGCTGACTTGGCCTCCGAGGCTGTGATCGTATCATTATAAATCACCCCAAATTTTATTCACAAAAATAATGTATGATTACAAAAACAATAATGTTTTACAAATAAATTAATTATTATATATCAGCAGGGTCCCGGAAAGTCCCATAATCAACATAGACACATTACTATTGCTTAAAAGACCCCAATGGAAATAAGTCTCTCTGACTTTTTTGGGTTATCCCAGGTTCTCTACACATATGCTGTATTTGTGTACACCTGAATAAACGTACTTACTACCACCCATAATAATATTCTTTCAACAGGTTAGATGGGTGCATGGGTGGGTGTGAGTTAGACCTACCTAGTGTGGGCTTGTGGGCGTACTGCAATACTCCCTTTTTTTACGTTCTCCCGTGAGTTTGGAAATGGTCGTTCAGTGGTCAGAATATTTTCGAAAACCCAAGTGAAGATGCGTCATACTGTTCAACTCATCTTGGCTGTCGCAGCCATTGTGCACATTTATAATATTGACAGATCTGTGCATGCAATCAGACTGGGTAACAGAGCTGTGCATGCATCAGACTGGGAAATAAAGCTTTGTAGGCAATCAGAGTATGAAATATCTATCATGACCAAGCTGGTGTGATGGTGAGAGGTGTTTCGAGCCAGGTAGATGCATCTGCACTGTCAGTTGACCAGTTAACAAAGATTCATTACGAGGTGTTTGAGGCTGTGACTAGTAAGTTTTGTCCTTCGATCACAAAAAAAATGTATATTGATTTCCGTCTGCATAGATCATTTTCATGACTGACTGACTTGGCCTGGTTAGTTATTCACGAATATTGGCAGAGTGACCTAACTCACTCACTTACTTACTTGCTTACTTACTCAACAAAGCAAGGTGGCTCACCATTTTTTTCGGAAGGATATGGACATCCAGTGATAGGGAATTTAACTACAACATCCCCTTTATAACTTACAGGTTTAGGCACCTTAATTCCTAGGAGATAGGGTTCAGTCCCGCAAGTTCATATAGGTGAATGCATTCACATTAAGAACAAGAGGAGGATGTGAACTCCACATGCCAGACACCATGGGGCATAGACAGGGTAGACAAGAATAAGCTCTTCAACAAGGATACGACAAGAGATTTTGTTAGTTTAATAGTTTTATTGTACACCCTATAAACATATTGTGGATGGTAGTCAAAAGATTGCAGACACATAATGGGTCCAGGGACCAGGCACCGTGCAATGGTAACTAAGCAAGTTACAGTGATAATGAACTACTTTCAAAGTTTACCTTTAGTTATGTCTACATAAAATGTTAATGCAAATTAAAAGAGATGGTTAGGTAAGACACATATGCAACAGTTAGGTATCTTTATTTCGAAACGTTTCGCCTACACAGTAGGCTTCTCCAGACTGAGGGACTGACAACCTCAAAACTTTAAGGGTGATGGACTGATTACATCGTCTTCAAGTATCTTCTGCTTCTATCAACTTTTCTGCACTCGACTGAAGAAACCTACTGTGTAGGCGAAACGTTTCGAAATAAAGATACCTAACTGTTGCATATGTGTCTTACCTAACAACCTGTCAGTATTTTATACCATTTTAATGTTCAAATTAAAAGAGATACTTGTAGCCCAGTAGAATCCAGACAGTAGCGACATCCAAGGGTCTGCTGATATTGTTTGATGATGAACCATAGACACGTGGTTCCTCCTGCATGTTTTGTTTGCAATCGTGTCATTAAGATTTCGTGGGCAATAACTGACTGGTGTCAACTTCATTCAGTCTCAAGTCAATGAAGTTCAGTTGTAGTTCTTTTCTTTGTATTGTCCTGAAACTATTAGTTGACAACCTAAAATTGTAATTCACTCCCTCCTTGAAGGCCAGTTCATCAATTATATCATGCATTTGAAGACTAGTGTGTAATGCGGTGGCGGACCTACATTTTTAGGGCCCTGAAGCTTGAACTGTTATGGGGGCCCCTTCGCAGCCCCATCTCATACAGTAGACCCAACATTTTTAAGCATTGTGGACTAAAGTCACTTCTGGGCCCCTCTGGGAACAGGGGCCCTGAAGCTTAATCTTCATTAGTTTCATAGTAGATCAGCCCTGGTGAAATGGAATTCACTGAAGGTGGACTCTGATTCCATTGTCTACAGGTCAACCATACCTGTGTCTGGCTTCTAACACAAGCATGCCACAATTGGAACTCTCTGAGTCAAGAGAATGTATGGACGATAGATAATATAATCAGTTACAGTTAGGTATCATCCTTAGATACATGGACGCACTTGACGGCAAACAGTTCAATTGAGAGTGGAAGCTTAAGCGTTGATTCATACTCCAGTTTCTATGTGGAAGCCTTCACTTTGTATGACAACAGTGCCACTACCAGCTGCACCAATGGGTTGATGAACATAGCCGTCAACACGCACGATTTGTGGAGGAGTGTTATGTGATAAAGGCATCAGTACAATTTAAGCCATCCTGTTTGGCTTCAGAACGAAGTTTTGGTTACGATTTATTATGGTTGTTTTGGGGAAAGTGATTTAGAAAGAGGAACCGCTGATGTCTTACTTGACATGGATCATGTATCTGATTCATTTTCAGATTTGTTTCAGTTTCTCTTTCATGCCACCTGTGAATGACTTGGTTTTCATGAAGCTTAAAGAGACAGTAGCTGCTCTTTTTGCAGCCTCAGTATTACAGAAAGTTGATATTGACTTGCATATGTTAAAACTGCCGGCCTTCTGTGAGGTAATATTAATGGCAGGAATTATGGAGGCCTCCACACATTTTCGTCTGCATACATAATTTTCATGAATGGCTTATCTAGCTATGTTGTTCGTGAAAATTGGTAAGGTGACCCAAGAAGGCACTGTGACTTACCAAATCTTCTTAGAAGGGTACAAACATCACAATGCAGTGATAACTTATTAATATACAACATCTCAGCATGACTTACAAGTGTAAACACCTTACGTACTACCCAAAAGATAGACTTTACTCTCACAAGCTCATATAAGTGAAAGTGTGCACAAGGAGAGCAAAGAAAGGATATTAAATATGGTATATAAAATACCACGTGGCATAGGGAGAGAGTATAGAAAAATAAGCCCTTCAACAGTACTACACCAATAATAAATGGCAAGGTTGTAAATTACACATGTAACTGAACCACAAGACACAAGCTTCACCAGTTGGACAGAGATGATTGACGATGTTGGAAAGAGTAGAGTAAGTGGAGAGGTAGTGTGGGGTGATCAGTCCATCACACTTGATGGAAGATAATTATCAGTCTCTTATCCTAAAGCAAATACTCATACTTCCTCTCCATTCTGTCTACTATCTCCAGGTTTGTAATTCATCTCTGTATTTCTATATTTGACTGATGAAGTCTGCAGCACAAGCGAAACATTACGTCAATAAAGATACCTAAGTGTTGTATGTGTCTTACTCATCAATTTGTCGGTACCGGATTCCATTAATAATATGATGAGGTAAGTAAACATACACAGTATATATTCATGATACAATTTACACATCAGCTCCGGTTTATTTAACCTGGAAATGGAAACTGAATGTTTTGATCCATTTTCGACCATTAAGTCACTAGGTGATAATGTTTATGATGGACAGAAACATTACTTAATTTCTAATTTGTGGGTTGTTAGTGAATTGTTCGAAGCACAACAGAGTTTGATTTATAACCTGAGCAGGTCACGAGGGAGTTAATGTAGGCAGTGTCGTATATTAGTTCTGATGTCTGCCAAGCGGTGTCATCGTTAGCATCATCTTCATCGCTGATGTATCCCGCTTGTGGTGGAACAGCCGGAGGTGTGGCATGTACTGAATATTGCCTGGGAAGCTGAGGCGGCACGCTTGGATTTGACGATAACTTTCTGGTCTGACTCACCTCTACTGAATTAGACTTATTCAGGGTGACATTTGCTGAAGGGTCTCTTGTATGAGTGACCATGGGGCGGAAAGAAGCCTTGCTGAAATGATCTCTGCCCGGAGGCCTATGTTGAGGGTTCTGTGCTGAAAGAGGCCTAGGCCCGAGTGATCTCTGCAGGAGGCCTATGTTGAGGGATCTGTGCTGAAGGAGGCCTAGGCTGAGTGATCTCTACAGGAGGACTATGTTGAAGGATCTGTGATGAAGGAGGCCTAGGCTGAGTGATCTCTACAGGAGGCCCATGTTGAGGGATCTGTGCTGCAAGAGGCCTAGGCTGAGTGATCTCTACAGGAGGCCTATGTTGAGGAATCTGTGCTGAAAGAGGCCTAGTCTGATTGGCCTGTACTATAGGATTACTGGTCTGATTGATCTGTATGGAAAGTGGTTTTGTCTGAGTGGTTCCTGAAGGTGATCTGGTTTGGGTGACCTGTGCTTCAGGCTTCGCAAGGTTCCTCGAGCCTCTGTCTCTAGAGCTAGTCTGAATGGATTCTCGGGGAGGAGGAGGGATGACAACGCTCGATTCTGATCAGGTGTGCTTCGATGTGAGTTCCCGGAGTCATTCGAGAAAGCAGGGTTTGTGTAGGAGGTATTTAGCCGGTTGGTAGTACTATTTTGTACATTGCTCTGCTTCAAGTGGCTACTGGTTGGCAAAGCCTTGTCTGATGTCTTACAGAACCTAAAGTAGAGGAAGTAAGCCAAGGCTGCAATGAGAACACCAGTTACTAGTCCCCCGAAGAATGCTCCACATATAGCACCAGCGTGAGAAGGACAATCATCTGTGGGAGAGTCCGTTGGGACGAAAGTTGTGAGGGAGCTGCAGGAGGACTGAACAGAGGCCACGTTGGAATCTTGGCCTTCCTGCATGCGGGTGTCTCTCGCCCTCACGCGGTAGTGCACTAGCTGGTCACATAAAAGTGGCGACACCATCACTTGGGCCACACTGCCACCCTCCACCACAACATAGATGGCAGTATCCACCAGCATCCACTTATCACCATCATCACTCCAAAACACACGATACTCCATTGCTGTACAGAAAAGGTAATGCATTATTGTGGCAAGTATCTCGGAATAATTCAGTCACTATTGTAATATTTCAAATTAAAAGAAAATATTAGAAACTTTATTGTGCTTATTATCTATCTGTATTTATCTACTTGTAATTATCTATCTGGAATTATCTCTAGCTTCAATAATAGAACAATGCCTGTGGTGTCCTAAGCTTCACTATTTAATATGTTGTGTATTCACCTGTGGTTGCAGGGATCAAACCTCTGCTTCTGGCCCCGTCTCTTCGTTACTGGCTTTCTCCTCACCTGGCTGCGTGAGTCCTATCATGCTTAGTCTTAAAGCTGCGTGTGGATGTTGCCTCTTCCAATTTGCTATGAAGGTCACTCCGCTTCCTGTCAACTTTAAAGTATCCCTAACATTCCTGTGACTCATCTGTGTTTTTAACTTCCAGCTGTGCCCTCGTGTACCTGATTACCGCCTTTCTCAAACAGTCTGACTGACTACCCTGTCAATTTATCTAGGTATATGGAACCTTATTGTCGTGTCACTTCTGGTCTGTCTTCTAATGTCATCAGATTTAGCTCCTTTAGTCTCCAGGATTAGTATTGTTGTAATTCTTTAGCTTCGAGTCTGTGAACTCCGACAATGGAGATGCGAGTGTATGCACCCGGAGATGCGAGTGTATGCACCCGGAGATGCGAGTGTATGCACCCGGAGATGCGAGTGCATGCACCCGGCTGTGTTGCTGAGCAGACTTGCTGCAAACCTTTGCACCTTTTTCAACTTCTTGAAAGTCTTTACCAGATACGGGTTCTACACTGGTGCTGCATACTCCAAGATGGACCTGACATATGTCACATGCAGAGTCGTGAATGACTCCTTGTTTAGATTTCTTAAAGCTAACCTTAGATTTGCCAGACGCGTGTTTTACTGGTGAGGATAATTGGTTGACGTGTACTTCATAGTGATCTGCTCGGAACTGTGCTCACCCCGAGATCCTTCTCTTTGAGGGAGGTTTGTAGCCTTTGTCCCCTGAGCCTGTATCTGTTTCCAGTCCTCTTCGCTCTTCCCGATTTTCACGACTTTGCATGTGCTGGGGCTGTGGCTCGTACGTTGGATTGCGTGCAGCCAGCAGTAACAGCCTGGTTGATCAGGCTCTGATCCACCATGAGGCCTGGTCAAAGACCGGGCCGCGGGGGCGTTGACCCCCGGAACTCTCTCCAGGTAAACTCCAGGTAATAACCATTTGTCAGACCAGCATGTATGCTTAACATAAAGGTACGAAATTACAGGAAGGTATTTCTGACAGGTGCGAAAACACGGAAGAAGAAATACCGCACCATATTGCCTGCCTTGCTGCTAGGTGGTGAACAAGGGTAGCAGTGTCAGTAAACATGCCCAACACTTCCGTTCGTCCTGAAATCGAACCCTGGTCCGTCAGCTGTGAGCTGAGGCCGCTATGTGATAACAGATTACTACTTGAAGGCGATAATATAGGGTTGACTTAAGGGCGATTATTTAAATAAGATAAGGAAGGGGTAAGAGAGGTTTTGTGGGCGAGGAGCTTGGACTTCCAGCAGGCGTGCATAAGCGTGTTCGATAGGAGTGAATGGAGACGAGTGGTATTTGGGACCTGACGAGCTGTTGGAGTGTGAGCAGGGTAATATTTAGTGAAGGGATTCAGGGAAACCGGTTATTTTCATATAGCCGGACTTGAGTTCTGGAAATGGGAAGTACAATGCCTGCACTCTAAAGGAGGGGTTTGGGATATTGGCTTTTTGAGGGATATTTTTGGTATTTTTAAGTATATCTTCTAAAACTTTGTTTTTCGAGCATCTCTGCAAAAACAGTGATTATTTGGGGTGAAAGTTTAAATGATGAGAAATATTTTTTTGGGGGGGTTTTCTTTTTTTTTGGGTCACCCTGCCTGGTGGGAGAGGGCCCGACTTGTTAAAAAAAAAAAGTTAAGCGATAATTTACCATACCCAGGTCGAGGCATCCCCGGGAGCAGTGAAGGTGAGGATGACCTGGTCTTCAGAGGTGTGGGACTGGGTCAGGACCCGGCGGTGGAAAGACTAACAGACCTGGTCCCCTTCACCACGACAGCTGACCCCATTGCAAACCACCCCTTCACTGTAGTAGTAGTAGAGTAGTGTATAGTATAGTGTATATAGAGTATAGTAGTATGTGGGGTGGGCAGAAGAAGTAATTGTGGTAGCAGAAGTAAAAATAGTGATAAAACAGAGGAGCAGCAAAATAGAGTGAGTGTTAAAAGTAGTAGTGGTGTAGTAGTGTTTTTAATTTGGTGGTAATAATAGTAGTGGATTAGTATTTTAATTTTGGGTTTTGGTAAAAATATAGTAGTAGTATAATAGGTAGAAAAAATAGTGTGTAAACATAAAAAGACCCTAAATATTACCCAGGCTCTCAGGCACTGGGTATTAAAAAAGGACCCCAAGGGAAAATAAGTCCTCGATTTTTTGGGTTACCCCAGGCCCTAAAATATACTGCTATGTTGAAAATTCTTTGTAACTGTAATTGTGTAACCTAAATAAACTTACTTATTCATTACCCCTAATTGCCTACCTCAACCCTACCCCCTCCTTTTCCCCTACACACCTCCCTCACTTTACATCACTACCTCACCCCTTCACCACGTGCCTCTTCCTACCTCACCTGGCCACTCCTGCATAGTTACCTCATTCCGCAGTGCCATTATATTTTAGCAGGATAATTTTCCCAAAACCCCTACGTCGTTAAGTCACGGTTCTTATTATGGGAAGGGGGGAAGCCTTCAGCCCGTGAAAGGCTTTTGTCCAAGAAAAAGGATCTGTTCCTCTCCTATAGAAAAACCTTAATTCCTCCCTCCATTACCCCTTGCATGCCCCAAAAGGGCTTTGCACTTCCCCAGATAATAAAAATAAAAATAATAATAAAATAATAATAAAATAATAATATAAATAATAAAAAAAATTATGTCCTTGGATCATGCTCCAACCCCATTAAAGTTTCCTAGTGTTGTAAAACATACAGAAGGTGAAGAATAATAACCACAGAAACATAGTTTGCAGTGAACCCTTGAGCGGGGGAGGAGGTGTAGGGGGGCGAACTACCACAGCAGGTAGATCTGCCCCGCCTAGGAAACCCAAAATACACACAGTTATTAAATTAAGAAAAGTTTCCACATTTTTAAAAAATTTTTGGGGCTTTTTTTTTTATAAATACTGTTAATTTTTACTCATTACGGGTGAAATCCCCATTTATTACTTTTTTTTTATCCCCTAACAACGAAACCCCAATTCAGGCGCAAATATTGATTTAATGTACGAATTGTTATCCTGGGAAATTCATCACCAAATTTTTTTACGAGAGGAAGTTTATGCATAATTTTAACCCCTTTTTCAGGTACTGCGCGTAATTTATGTATTGAACTGTAATACGTAGGACTCAGTCCCTTACATGGAGTTCGTTTTACGATTTCCCTCGATACAACGGATAGGTCCGTTGCATCACACTTTCCATAAAAAGGGGTTTTCGCTAAAGGGACACCCCCTTTCTGTTAGTTTATAACACACCGGTGATCAGCACCACTTTCATCCCAGTCTTTCTGCAATTTCTGTGAAAACAAGCAAGTTACAGGAATGTTTACCCCGTAAAATTTTAAGAATTTACCTTCCTGACGTTTGCAACTTTGGGGAAGATGAAGAGTGTTTTAACACTTTGGAATGATTTATGGACATAATGTGACTACCCCTGAGAATCAGGGGAATGTACTACCACTGATGAATCAGGGTAATGTACTACCACTGATGAAAGGGTAAAAGTGATACCACTGAGAATCAGGGGAATTGACACCACTGATAACGGTAAGTGACTACCCCGATGAATCAGGGTAAGTGACTACCCCTGATGAAAACAGGGTAATGACTACCACTGATAATCAGGGGAATGTGACACCCTTGATGAAACGGGAAAGTGATACCACTGATAACAGGGTAATGGACTCCATGGAATCGGGTAATGGACTACCATGATGAATCAGGGTAAAGTGACTACCACGTAATCAGGGGAATGTACACCACTGATGAACAGGGAATGTGACTACCCCTGGGTAATCAGGGAATGTGACTACCAGATAAACAGGGTAAAGTGACACCCTGATGAAACAGGGGAAAGGACTACCACGTGAATCAGGGGAAGTGACTACCCCGATGAATCAGGGGAATTTCTACCCCTGATGAAATCAGGGTAATTGACTACCACTGTGAATCGGGTAATGGACTACCCTGATGAATCAGGGAAGGACACCACTGATTAATCAGGGAATGGACTACCACTGATGAATCGGGTAATGTGACTACCAGATGAATCGGGTAATGTGATACCCTGATGAATCAGGTAAAAGTACTACCACGATGAATCAGGGGAAAAGTGACTACCACTGAGAATCAGGTAAATGTGACTACCACGTAATCGGAAGGACACCACGAAATCAGGGGAATGTGATACCACTGATGAATAAAGTAATGTGACTACCACTGTGAAAAGGGTAATGTGACTACCACTGATGAATCGGGTAAATTGATACCACTATGAATCAGGGTAATGTGACTACCCCTGAGAATCAAGGTAATGTGACTAACGATGAAAACAAGGTAAAGTGATCCATGATGAATCAAGGTAAGTGACACCCCTGATGAAACAAGGGAAATGTGACACCACGATGATAAGGGAATGTACACCACTGATGTCAGGGGGAAAAAGTACACCACTGTGAATCAGGGGAATGGGACTCCACTGATGAATCAGGGGAAGTGATACCATTGGGGAAACGGGTAATGTGACTACCACTTGAATCAAGGTAATGTGACACCATGATGAATCAAGGTAATTTATACCCCGATGAATCAGGGAATGTGACACCATGATAATCAAGGTAATGTGACTACCCTGGAATCAGGGGAATGTAAACCCCTGTGAATCAGGGTAATGGCACCCCTGATGAACAGGGTAATTGACTACCACTGAGAATCAGGGGAATGTGACTACCATGAAAATCAAGGTAAAATGACTACCCCTGATGAATCAAGGTAAAGTACTACCATGTGAATCAAGGTAATGTGACTACCATGGAAACAAGGGAATGTACTACCAGATGAATCAAGGAATGTAATACCACTGAGAATCAAGGGAAAAGGGACTACCCCTGATGAATCAGGGGAAAGTGATACCACTGTGAATCAAGGTAATGTGCACCACTGAGAAACAAGGTAAAAGTACACCCCTGTGAATCAAGGTAATTGACTACCACTGATGAATCAAGGTAATGGACTACCACTGTGAATCAGGGGAAGTGATACCCGATGAATCAAGGAAATGGACTCCACTGATGAATAAAGGGTAATGTGACTACCACTGATGAATCAGGGTAATGTGACTAACCACTGATGAATAGGGTAATGTGACTACCACTGATGAACCCAAGGTAATGTGACTACCACTGTGAATCAGGGAAAATGTGACTACCACTGATGAATCAAGGGTAATGTGACTCCCACTGATGATCGGGGGTAAATGTGACTACCACTGATGAATCAGGGTAATGTGACTACCACTGATGAATCAAGGTAATGTGACTACCACTGATGAATCAGGGTAATGTGACTACCACTGATGAATCAAGGTAATGTGACTACCACTGATGAATCAAGGTAATGTGACTACCACTGATGAATCAGGGTAATGTGACTACCACTGATGAATCAAGGTAATGTGACTACCACTGATGAATCAAGGTAATGTGACTACCACTGATGAATCAGGGTAATGTGACTACCACTGATGAATCAAGGTAATGTGACTACCACTGATGAATCAAGGTAATGTGACTACCACTGATGAATCAAGGTAATGTGACTACCACTGATGAATCAGGATTTACTATAACTGTTAGATGACATTTCGGTACGATCACGTTCGATTAATTTAGGTTAGGTTTGCTTGGTTTGGGTTGGGTTGGGTTTGACTGAACTGGGTTAGGTTGGGTTGGGTTAGAGCCCAAATTAACCCTCAAGAAATTTTTTTTAGCAATTTGGCCGAAAAAAAATGAACATTGCAAAATTCAGTTAACATTATACACTGTAAACTATATATCATCACTCATTTCCGCCAAGCACCTAATAATAATAATAATAATAATAATAATAATAATAATAATAATAATAATAATAATAATAATAATACGGTATACTAAAAAAATGAACACTGATAGGCGCAAACAAAAGCCACTATGCATACAGTGCGTTTAAGACAAATTTTCATATACCTTCGCACATAGTGTAGTACACTGCCACCTCTAGTTGGTGAGCTCTGGGGATTTTGTGTGACTATGTTGTTAGTCGTGCAAATTACCCTATTTTCCAGCATATAAGGCGCACTACAGAAGTATCATAATGATAAATCAGTAACCATATTCAAGGGTTAATTATTCTCTTACTGTACGCTAAAGCGTAACCCAAAGCCTATCCTTGACCTTGACCTTGAGGATATAAGGCGCAGGTTGATTTTCCAAGACTTTTTGTGGAAAAACTAATGCGCCTTATATGCCGGAAAATACAGTAAGAGCTGGTCACATTGCATGCACAAGTAAATGTCATCCATCTTTGTACAAACATTGTATCGTGTTGTATCATGTGGAAATAAATCTTTGACTTTAGATTTGACCTGCCTTTCATTGGATTATAAATTTATTGAATCCCATTTCACAGGTGTTGTGTAATACCTAAGGCGCTTCCCCGTCAATGCTATGAAAATAGGGAGAGTAGTGACCTGGTTTAGTGTTGCTGGTGGTACCCACGATCTTGGAGGAGGATGTAGAGGAGACGTTGACCTGAAGGGTGTAGGCACTTCTACCACTGGGGACGTAAACCAAGTACCTGGAGTATACTCCATCCCCTCCTGTCACGTCAGGACCTAGTGGAAAATTTAAAAATAGTAATAATAATAATAATAATAATAAAAAAAATAATAATAATAATAATAATAAATAATTAATTTAAAAATAAAATAA